GATTTCAATATAACTTGGCACAAATGTTCACCATTGTGAGGCTGAGTGTCGCACGCAAAATTCAGATCCCTGGGACCAAAGTCAAGGTTACACATAGAGGTCAAAGTTCAGATAAAAATTTGAAGATGTGTATAGGGACCATTTAGTCATCATTTATTGATGGATTGTAGCACAAATGGTAACTATCATGACTACAGGTGTGACACATTTAATTTAGGTTAATATTTGCAAGGTCAAGGTCACTGGAGATGATTAAATATCCAGATGTTGTCCCGAGCATATTTTCTACATGCATGGAGGAACTTTAATGTTACTTTATAGAATTGTTCACCACCATGAGACGTAGTGCCCTGCACATGAACCAAGTCTCTAGGTCAAAGGTGAAGGTCACAGTTAGAGCTCATAGAAAAACGCTTGTCTGGAGCAAAACTTCTACATGCATAGAGGGATTTCAATATAATTTGGCACAAATGTTCATCATTGTGAGGCTGAGTGCCGTGCATAAAATTCAGGTCCCTACGACCAAGGTCAAGGTCACACATCCTGTGCATATCTTCCCTACTGATTTGTTTTAAGGTTCATTTAACAACACAGTGCCAAGAATAAAAACTTGCTTGCTAGATAACACTTATCCATAATGCCCCCATCTCCATCTAAAGCTTTCGTAAACGGGCGTATTTTGTGACTATGGCACCCTTGTTATAAAATGGCTTTATTACACTCCTGCGCCGCGGTTTATGTGATAAATTAATTTATCATACACATTAAAGTGACATGACATGAGAAGACTGGAAATATTTTCCTGAGATTTGTGCACCATCTGATGTAGATTTAGACCAATAGCTATTGAACAAATTTTCAGATAATTCCCTCTCATTGTTTTCCCAGAGTTATGATTTTTATTGTACAAAATTACCCAAATTTTCAATGCTTTTCACTCAAATTGAGCAAAATCGCAAGTATATTTCTTTGCAGAATTGATTTCAAAGCCCCACTAGATACTTCAATAATTATGGAAAAAAACAACAACAGAAATCTTACATGGTGCTAAGTAAAATCAAAAGTTGTTTTGTGTATTGATCTTAGAAATTGTTTGATCTTATTTCAGAATTTTGAACCTTGTTAATAATAATCAATGCAGTGGTGGTTTCATATTAGCACTCTGTAATGTATTGGGTATTGTGTTCCCATTAATTAGATTGTCATTTCCTTCTCCCAGTCCCTCTCTTTATGTACTTTAACAAAAGAGCAGGTGCTTTTTCTGGTACAATTATTCTGCTAATGTATGATATATATACAGAAACAATTCTGAGGAAGAAGGGTACTTGTTTGTTAAATGGGCTAATTTGAACAATTTCCTGGGCGATCGTTAGCATAGTCAGTAATTGATTATATTGACCAAAATTAAAGAAAAGGAGGAAATTGTTAATGGTGTAGATATATTCGGACATGAAAAAGTAGCAAAAAAATACTATAAATGTTCGGGTAATGTTAAAGTGACCTTAATTGAAATTTCTGATACATATATGTATATCTTGAATGAGGCTGAGTTAATTGAGAACCTTTGATCTTGATAAGCTGGAATATCCTTTGTAAGGTTTTATTTGCATTGTACATAGAAGTATATGTGTAAAAAAAAAAATATTGCTGTAAAAGAACTTTCAGTATTTTTGTTTCAGTTGTAAGTAGATCTTAGGCCAGACTTATCATGTTCTGCAATGTCATATTCTGAACAACATTGCTGGATCAGAATTTTCAGTAATTTTGTTTCATTTGTAAGTTGATCGTCGGGTCTACCGCAAGAAATCAGCCTTTTGTCATATTTTACTAATCTGATCCACATTGTTGATCGTAGGAGTTACCAAAAATTTTAATGTATCCAATTTGTTGTCCCTTATATCTTCAATATTTTGTATTGTGTATGAGGTAATGAAATTGTGATGGTACATGTATTTTGTTGTAAATCCATCATTTAAGATAAAATTTTATTTTAAATTAAGAAAATATAAATTACAAAGAATTTCATGCTCCACAATATGTACAAGACTTGAATTGAAGGATTGTTGAGTGCCCGATATTTTCATAATAAGAGTCAAAAGAAATGAAGCAAAAAGTATTGTATATAATTGAAACATTGTATTCAATATTAATAGAGGTATCACATGAACAGAAGGTTGGAAAACTTTCCAGTACCAATGATTAAAACATTAGTTTGTTTTTGGTGCTGTACCAATTTGAAGAGTTAGTTGACCTTTTTACATTCCTTTTATGATAGAACCATGTATTAATATTTCAAAGGAAATTATTTAACACAGTGAAATTGAAAAAAAACTTGTTTGGTGGTTTCTAAATAATTGATGGCTGCTCCCTGATTGAATATATTAGAAAGACTTGCTGATCAATATACAACAGATGGGTAATAAATTACTATCATCTCACCTCTAAAGTCAGTCACCTATTGCAGAGTGCTCAAGTTGAATGTACCTCAGATCATAGCATTTTGAACTTGGTCTTCTGCAAGAAAACATAAGATTTAGATTGGTGAATGTTTGCCGGCAGTTTGTCAACGGGATGTAAAAATGTAAAAAATGACCACTGTATGTAACTAGTACATTTTAGCTTGACTATTTAAAGGACATAAAGAGGTATTGTACTTACCCTGGTGTCGGTGACTGCTTCAATGCCTTACTTAAGTTCAGTTTTTGCATGGAAATTGTTATCTCAAAACTAATTAAGGGAACAAGTTGAAACTTCACTCCATTGTTCTCTGTGTTTATCTAACATGATAGACATAGGTTCCATAACTCTTTAGTTACCATTTTACAGACTGATGCCCCTTTTCTTACTGTCAAGCACAGAGAATAGTTAAAGGCACTGTTTTATGGACAGTTTTTGTTCAAGGGATTCCAACCAATTAGAATGATTCTCAGAAAATACTCTGACTTATTTTGTCAAAACTAAGTGCTTAGATCATTTTTGGCAGAATTATGGCCCTTAATTTTTTTTCTAATGCAATATTGGCAGTAAAACACTTGTTTTTGTGTTGGAATGTTATTTCTATACTAATTTAGTTTTCAGTACTTCTAATTAGAATTAAAAAAGGAATGAGTCCATTTTAGAAAGTCACTGGAGTAAAATTATAGGACTGGTAGATTGAAAAATGTGATATTTAACATTTTCAGCATCAAAATAGATAGATGAGATAAATGAATTATTTTGTGATGACATTAGATTGAGACAAATGAGAAAAAGGAGGTTAATGAATTATCCTTGAGGGAAATCTCTAAAAGCAAATCTATACCTTTCCTTTCTTTTGAAGTGAAACTGGGTATTGAAATGAAAGTCCTAATAAAATAGGTCTAAGTCCATCAGTATGGATAGAAATGGACTGGCCTTTAATTGGAGTGTTTTGTGACTTGGTTTACTTCACCCTTAAAGGGAGACATGGGCAAAATTTTCATTTGTTCGTTTTCAATTTTTCATTCATTATTCTGTAAATGTCCTCAAAATGAATATACTTAAGGCAGTCACAGGAACAAATCATTTCTCATTATAAAGTATTTAATTATGGTTTTCTAACCTGACCCAGAGCGTTAAGATTTCACAACAGTTGTCACAGTGAACTTTGGAAATGTTAAAAAATGTCAAATGAATGACTTAGACTTGTTTCAATCATGCAATATCCACAGTATCTGTTATTGAAACTTCCAAGGTTTGTTCAAGTCACAAAACTTGTTTTAAAACTACTCTGTGATTGTGTCGGCTTCTAAATTTCGTTCAACATATATAAATATATTTACACTTCAAACCCAATATATATAAACTTTAATGCAGAAATTCATGCTGGGATTTTAAAAAATGCCATTTTAGCGTGATTAATAAGTTCATAAGATCATTTTAATATTTTTGTCGTTAATTTGCCTCTGAGTATCCCTTTAACCTGCTAGTAGAAACCTGGGACTTAAGTATCATTTTAGGTCGCAGCAGAAACTGAATATACCCATGTGACCAGTGCAGACCTGAGCATTATTTATTAGCTCGACTATTCGATAAGAATAAGTAGAGCTATTGCAGTCACCCGAGCGACAGCGTCGGCGTCGGCGTAACCACTTATGTTAAAGTTTTTGTAATAGTTCAAATATTTTCAAAGTCCATAGACATATGGCTTTGAAACTTTGCACACTTGTTCACCATCATGACCCCAACCTGTAGACAGGAGGAGGTAACTCTATCAAGCATTTTGACAGAATTATGCCCCTTTTTCGACTTAGAATTTACGTTAAAGTTTTTGTAATAGTTCAAATATTTTCAAAGTCCATTGACATATGGCTTTGAAACTTTGCACACTTGTTCACCATCATGACCCCAACCTGTAGACAGGAGGAGGTAACTCTATCAAGCATTTTGACAGAATTATGCCCCTTTTTCGACTTAGAATTTACGTTAAAGTTTTTGTAATAGTTCGAATATTTTCAAAGTCCATTGACATATGGCTTTGAAACTTTGCACACTTGTTCACCATCATGACCCCAACCTGTAAACAGGAGAAGGTAACTCTATCAAGCATTTTTTTTACTATCAAGCACTAAGAATAGTCTAGTGTTGCTGTCCTACCGACAGCTCTTGTAATAGCCTATACAGTTTGTCATGCTGGCTGTTTAATCAGTACATATTTTGAAACTTTCACAAAAAATGATGAATCGTCTTGTCCAAATTGAAAGATGGACAAATCCATGTAAGATATTTAGCATGTTATGGGTAAAACATTGGTATGTACGAGAGTTTTCACCTTACCAGAATTTTGGTATAACTTCAAAATACAAATAGAACAAGTTTATTGCGTAAGTTTAGACTGGTAAATTAAATTGTTAAGGTTACTGTAAATTATAGGGAGAGAAGGTAGTACAAAAATAAATCTGTTATAATATATACAGTTCCTTGGAAAAATTGTTATATGGTTTTATGATAAATGATTATGTAACTATTGATTATATTTTCAGACTGACAAGATCACAGAGGCAGGACAGACATATTGAAAAGCCAGATGTTAAACTACGATTGAAAGTTACAGATGTTTTTATCAAAGTGTCATCTGCAATTGAAAGCTGTGGACGGAAGCCAAATAAAAGCATAATTTACAATTTTTTCTTTAAAATTTTATGTCACATTTGTGTGTGCTATTACTTTTTGACGATCATTATTTGTTTATGCATGCATTGGTTGGATAAAGAAATCATATTTTAGCTTATACTACATCATACAAAAAAATGTATCCAGAAAATTTTATTCAAAATATATTTTTTCGTTATAGTTATATCGGGTGAAATTAAGTTGTGATTCACTTTAAAACATGATTGTGAAGGAATAAACTTTCTTGAAAAAAAAATATTATTACTGTTTGCCAATTTGTATTGAGAAAATATATTTTAATGCCTATTACAAGATTTTATGCAATGTGAAATGAATAAATAAATAATAATTACAAATGTATACGAAATTATATAAAAGATTTATAACAGTTGAATTAATGTAGGTATGATCATAAACAAACACAGTTTTTTAAAACATGTTTTGCTTAATTTAGCTTCTTCTTTTACTAATTTAATATCAGTATACCAAGAAGTAACCATTTTCCTGCTGAGTTTATGATAATGAATTAGTTTTGTACCATTTTGTGTCAAAGGTCATGTATCATGAATAAAAGGTAGCTTATCAAAATGTGATTTGAATGAAGAAGTTTGCACTTACTGACTGGTACAGTATCCAAAAACACTTGATGAGTGGACTGCATTTTAAAGGAGCTCCACTTAGGTTAAAAAGCCTAACAATATGAAAGTGTGAAATTCATACAAAGATTACCGTAAGTAAAGCACTTAAAATTGAGACATCTTCAAATGATTATAGTGAAATATACTCAAAATTAAATTGAAAATCGATTTTTTTTTGTGCGATTGTTAGTCTGATTTTCGTGAAAAACAATGCAACGCTTTTAATTTTTGGGCCATTTTGAACAATAAAAATGATTATTCTGGAAAACAAGGTTAGGGAATGATTTGAAAATTTTCACACTAGTTATCTAAATGGAACACAAATCTCGGAAAAAATATTTCCTGTCCTGTTATGTTAAAAATCTTCAGTGGAGTCCCTTTAAGGTAGAAATTGCTTGGGTGAAAGATACAAATAAAATGTACACATATATATTCTTTTGAAAATGTTTTTTAATAAGGATTTATCATATTTTATGTTAGAAATAACTTATTTGTTTGTATATTATGTGGAAATCCTGTGCATTTGTCCTGTTTTTTTTTAATGAAGTCCCTGTTGTTGTTTTTTCATGAGAAGTATAATAAATTGAACTCTTATTCTTGTTTTGCTTTTTAAATGAAACTGTATAATTTGTCAGTTTAAAATATTTTGCAATCAAAGAACGAGAATGAATCCGTCAAGAGCCCGGAGTCAGGTCATTCTTCATGGGGGACATGATTAAGATTAGCTTGGTGCTTATGTTGGTGTTGCTTAGTTACAGTCAGTATTGATGTGATTTGTATGAAATGCAGGTACATTTCCTAAAATGTTAACATATAATAATTATAGTCATCATTTCAGGGTGGTTTGTGTTTTTACTATAGTTTTGTTATTTGTAACCATTTATGGTGGAATTTTCATAATATGTTACAGGGTTAACAAAGATCTAAATAAGCAGAAACAAACTTCATTTTTGTTTTATATTTTTCCTTATTTTATAACATACATTATCTGGGAAATGGACTATTTTACAGCTACCATAGTCCCATTTGTTTTAACAAGACACACTATACTATTGGAAGAATCATTCAAAGTAAAAGAAGATAGTTTATTAGATTTTTATAACATTTTAAAGTATATAAAGCTGTATATCTGCTGCAAAAATATTTTATTTGAATTTTAAAAAAGAATGAATACTTCCATGATGCTTGTACAACATGTATAAAAAAAATATGGTAGTATATTGCTTAAAAGTGAATGGCGCATTGCAACAATACATCATTGCTTAACAACCCTACAGCAGCATAATATTTTGTTCCAGAACATTTTATTCTGTTTACATACAATATATATGTGTATTAAATAATATAAACATTTTATGTTACAGCTTTAAAAAATGGACGATAAGATTATGGAAATAGTATAATTTTAAAGTTGATGAATTTATAAAAGTATTTCATAAGATCTAGCTTTATACCCTTTAAATATCTTATTATTGAATTTTTTGTGTCATACTTGTAGACCCCTTATAAGACAGGGATCAAATTTACATCTGAATAGTCATGTAACCCTTTTCCTACTGAATTTCTCTAATATATTTGCCGGGCTTTGAAATTTGAAACAGTCCATTAAAATTTAAAATAATGTAATTGACAACATAAAAAATTAAGCTGCCAATATTACATAATTATACTTACCTGTGCTGTCTGACCAGGCCCGAAGGTTATTAAAGAAATTCTCCAAGCTTAAACTAAGATCTCAGGTATTTGATTGGTCAGAAACTGTCACAGAATGTACACTAACCAATGAAAATCCTGGGACTTACGACAGAACTCAGAAAAAAGATTTATAATCTCGAGGCTCTTTTTTGCTGGTATAATCTCGATTTTTGATATTTTAAAATTTAGTTCTCATAACTGTTGAATGGTCTGTTTCAGATTCAAACCATGGCAAATCCATTACATAAAGCTTGCAGGTTAAGCTGGTTGAATAGCAACCATGCTAGAAGTAAAAGAAACATTATACATGTATTTAAGCCGTGCCATGACAAAACCAACATAATGGGTTTGCGACCAGCATGGATCCAGACCAGCCTGCGCATCCGTGCAGTCTGGTCAGGATCAATGCTGTTCGCTTACCAACCTTTTTACAAGTAGAGAAACTGATAGCGAACAGCATAGATCCTGATCAATCAGACTGCACGGATGCACAGGCTGGTCTGGATCCATGCTGCTAGCAAACGCACTATGTTGGTTTTGTCGGGACGCGGCTCATTTGTCAATTGACATATTATTTATATTTTAACTATATATAACTACTGTACATTTAACTTTATCCAGTGACGCATTTGATGCTAGATATATTTAGATTCTAGAATGAGAAATTGATATCCATTTTGTATAAGTTTTCAATAGAAAATCAGAATCTTTTGTTATTATTGTTGTTGTTGAAATGTTATATTATTTTCATGTGGTGCATTGTTTTTTGGCATATTTTTGTTATGTTTGATTATAATATCATATTGTGTAACGCAGGTATCTGTTATGTTTTACACTTGATATATGTAGTCCAAAGAAATACAGTCATTTTCATTTCCAATATAGTTTTATGTTTTAATTTTACTGATGAGATATTTATAGAGTAATGTTGATGTTTATTTCTAAATGTCAAAACGTTCCCTTCCTTCCACTTGCTAAATTGACATGGCTGACAACATCCCTTTCATGAATAGTTAGTGAAGGGGCTGATGGGTTGATAAGCTGTACTCCTCTCAACGTAGGGAATGTGAGAGTTTAAACCCTGCTATATCACATTCATGAACCGAACATTTTCCATTTAACACATGTGCCCACCCCCTTTGCCACCATCTCTCGCTAATTAGTTAACAAATATATTTTAAAACACAATTTTATAGTTCTAATTAGCATGCCCCCTCCCCGCTTTGAAAGAAAAGCAAGCCCCTAGGTGTTGTTAAATGGAAACAATACGGTAAGTTGACTTGAGAGTGATTCACAAATTTAGCTAAAATAAGACAATTTAAACTGATAGTTGTATACGTTCATTTAATTTATTTATTTACTCATTTTCAAAACTCAGAGATGTCAAATTTTCTACTTTTTTTGTTAGAGAATGAAAGATTTGCATGACACAGAATGGAGATAATTTGCAGAATTGTAAGGAGTTGGACCGTATCATTTATTTAAATTCTTACTACCACCTTACATTAGAAAGCTTTTTGCAGAGGAAATGACATTACCGTCTCAACTTATAATCTACCAATAATCAATTTAAAGCAAGGTTATCAGTAAAAAAAATCATTGTTATTGATAGATGTTTTAATTGTTTAGTAACAGAACATGTTTTTATGAAAATAATATTTTAATCAATTCAACCTTAACAAACTTGATTTATCTTGCAATTGTAAATATTAAAGCAGCAGAGAAGTTACATTTTCATTTAAACGCTTCCTACAATATGTTACATCTGAAATCTTTAATGGAGAGCAACTGATGTACATACTTGATTTAAAGCTACCAAGGTTATTGGTAAAATAGTCATTGTTATTAACAGTATTTTTAATGTTTTAGAAATAGAACATATTTTATAAAAAAGAAATTTTTAATCAGTTCAACCTCTTCAAACTTGATTTATCTTGGAATTCTTAAACTAAAACTGCCGCAAGAAATCAGGTAATTTATCCAATTTAAAGCTAATCAATATGGAACAGCTCTCTATTGCCTTAGCGGGTAGAAACTTTTTATTGAGTGTTTTCCATTAAGGTAAAATGGCATAGACTCTATGAAATGTTAATTGCGAGGAAAAAAATCAGGTTAATATCTTAAATCGTTCCAGGATATTGGGAAAAATATTGGTTTAGAAGAAAAGGTCAGCAACTACTTTACTGACACAGTTTCAATTATTCGCTACTTTTAAATTTACCATATACATGTATATATTAATCTGGACAATGAATTGAGTTGAAACTTTTCATTGTTGTTGTACTGAAATGTATAACTGTTAGCTTAATCAACTTGTCAAGACTGGTTCTAAGTCTTATCTTGGACTAAACATAGACTTACCAATGTTGGTTTTGTTTGAAAGGCTTGAATCAACTGAGTTGAAAGCATGCAGATATTATAACCAAGAGCTCACATATCCCCTGCATGTTATAATGAAATAATGACATATCTATACCATAATTTAAATCGGACAAGTCTGCGCTGTAACAATAATATTATATAAGCCTACACATTAAGTATAATGTCCAGTCTGCCTGCACACCTACAGGAAGTATAAAGCCAAAAAAAGTTTGCACACTATTGGCCTTTTTCAAAACCTCGGAAAGAGCTTTTGACAGATCTGAAGTTTTTAGCTCAAGTCAATATATAGTTAGCAGTGTACATGCTGAAGATATAGAAGCTGAAATAAATGTAGGAGTACTGCACTAGGGTATCTTTGCACTATTCCTTTATGATGGTAGACCTTATCTTGGTTTAAAACGCAAACATTGATTTCAATTATTTAGGAGTGACATACTGCTTGCATTTAAAAATGAGGCAAGGGTTTATGGGTAAAATATTTGTATTTTAAAATGCCTTATCATGGGGTGCATGTCATTCACAACAAACTGTCAAAACAGTGAAAGATAACAGGCTATTGAGAACTTGCAGTGAGGTCTTACCACTCAATAAAACAGTGGTAATAAACTGTTTTGCCATTTCAAATAGTTTTTGAGTAGTTTCTTATGTAAAGAAATGTTTTCTTTACGTGAAAAAAGCTAGGTTTCAAGTGTGGGAATAATTGATAGTGTCAACATTAGTGGTAGCCTAGCTGTAGACTTCCTCTATCCTACTTTGAATTTTTGATTGTCTATAGGGGATTTCAATTTTAGAATACTTACATTGAGCTGCCACAAGTATCAATTAAGTTCAGTCTTCAGGGATGTGTAGGTTAGCATGGTTCTATACTGATGGCATAAATAGAAGATATTTTAAGTTTTTATGGAATCGGGAGGGGGATATTGTTTTAACATTGTCCCTCTGTCTGTCCGTCTGTTCAAATTTCGTTTCCACGCTAGTTCTCTTCAACTACTGGCTGGAATTCAATGAAACTTTATGGGAATCATCAATATCAAGAGGAGATGCGCATATCGTCGGCTTGTTCCAGTCAGACCTTTTAACTCAGAGTTATGGCCCTTGATTAGTTATGCATTAGAGCAAAAATCTTTTCTGCGCTACTTTTCTGCAACTACTGGCTGGATTTCAACGAAACTTTATACCAAGAGGAGATGCCCATATCGTGGGCTTGTTCCGGTCAGACACTTTAACTCGGAGTTATGGCCCTTGATTAGTTATGCAGTATACATAAATCTTGTATTTACTCCCCCAAAATTTTTGTGTATTGGCACCAGTGAAAATATGAAAAATATGTTTCACTGCAGTGATATATAAATTTTTACAGTGAAAATACAGAAAATGAACTATGCATTTTATTTCTTCAATATTTCATTTAAAAATAAATAAAATCATTATTACAATAAAGTTTCAGAGTGTACTCTCACTTGGTCAACACAGTCAAAGGGGGTTATGTCCACAATTTTAAAATGGACAAAAAAGAGAGAGGAGAGAAAAAAAACATGAAAGAAAACAAAATCTAGCAAAAGCCCTTGATAAGTTAATGTAAGTAAAGTCTCTAATATTCCTTAGTAATGTACAAAATTGGTCTTTATGTTCATTGGGTTATTTCAGTGCTGCATAAAATGTTTGTATTCTAATTTAAAAGCAAAAGTATCCCGATTGACCAGTGCTATATCTAAGCTGATCATTTTAAAGTAAATAAAGCTAAAAATAGATATTTCTTGTACTATTTTTAGGAATGCAAACAGAATGAAGAGGAAATCAATGTATAATGGAAATTTTCAGTATTACATAAGTAAACAGACTAACTTTGAATATCCCTGCACTACTTCAAGAGTTCTGAAAATGTCAAACTGTTACAGAATCAAAGGAGTAACTTGTAACTTAAGTTAATGATCAGATGGATTTATCTATGACATTTGTATTGTTCTAATTCCTAAAGGCCAACATACTTTCCTGGAACTGTCATGCATAAGCTGGAATTCCCAATTTACCGGGATTTCTTTTGGAATTCTTAATATGCATATTGTATGGCAGTGCTTCAATATATTCTTTTTTTTCTAATATGTCATATAACATTATAGTAAGTTATTTTTTTTGTATCCCAATCATGGAAATAGCATTTAAGTAGCATTTATACTGAATATATTTGACATTAATTAATTAATTAATTTGGAAGATTTTCATAAGCTGATGTGACGGAGCAAATATAGAGCTGTACCAGCCTGCATACCGTCACCTTAGTGCAATAACTGGTTAACTCCTATTAAATTTAGAAGTACTTAAACCTGTTACTGCACTTAAGTGATAACACATGTAAAGTCTAACGTTACTTTACCCTATATTTTGGTCCCTCAATTTTCAGGACAATGTATCTGCATATTTCATTCCTCATAGCTAAAACTGGATTCTTCAGTTCCAAAGCTGAACAAGTCTGCCATTCAAAAGCAGCAGGATACACTTAAGGAACAACAGTGTAATTATTGCATTAACCTTTAGAATTACTGTAACAGACATGTGCACTTTGACTTCGGAACAGTCCGTTTTATATATATAAAACAAAATGTTTAATATGAAAGCAACAACATTGAGCAGCAAACTTTTATACTGCTGATATTTTAAAAATTATCAATTTTGTAGATATCTAGATGAGAATTAGAAGTTGGTCAACTAACAGTGTAGAGCCTGGTCAGACTGCATGGTGCCCATAAAGTGAACAAAATATATGTTTTTAAAGCCCAATAACAAGAAAAATACAAGACAAAATGAAAGAAAAATATAAATGAAAAATAAATAGACATAATTATATTAATAAAAAGACATATACATGTAAATGAAAAATTAAAACCAGCAGATCAATTTTGACCAAACTTCATAGAAATATGCTATTAGTAACAGATTTCCTTTTTCTTACAACCCAAAAATCGAAGCATAACTTAATATTAAGATGTATAAGGGTAAAACGTATTTCTTCTGCAGTAAATAGCCTTATATTAGGATTAACATGTCACTTTCCTATGTGATTGATCCATAATTTGCTTAACTCTGTCTTTACAATATATATTGCCTCTTCCCATATATCACCCAGGAGATATATTAGATGATAGAAGAATAAGGACACCAAAAAACATCCCACATAGTTGCCAGTCAACTGGTAACTGAATAGAAATTCCATCATAGCTTCCTGTGTAATAATATAACAGACAATGATAATACAACATTGTAAGTGAATTACAAACTGTTTTGTTGTATGACTGCACTGGCCATCTTCAATAAATCAGAAGTATTTGGAAGCCAGAATTTACCATTAATGAGTATAATGAAATACTGTTGGTTATTTAGGTTAGAGTGAGAAAAAAATCCATTTTTAGTTCTAATTTATAAAGTTATTTTCTTTTTAATATTATATTCAAAGCATATCCTCTACATGCATAAATGGAGTTGAGAATGATCACCACTATG